AGCAACTTCACTTCGGAATTCCAGCGGGCCTTGTTTGAGGCGTACGGAACCTCGAAGGCAACGCCGTCCAAGCACAGTTTGTTTCGATACCGCTGCCATTCAGGTTCGGGTAGCGAGCTCAAATAGTCGGGCGTAGCATACAACATACGTTGTCAGGAAATACGACGCAAAAATAAAGCTAGAAGCGCGTCCCTACAAGTCAACAACGAGCGCACGCCACACAACGCAATGGCGAAAACACTAAGAGCCGGGCCGCTTTTGCCCGCATAGCTTCCACGCATGCGCGGCCTTCCAGCCGTGTTGGTAAACAAAGCCGCTCCGCGTGTCGGTAAGACGCTTTCAGCGAGTCAGTTACTCGAGCTGCCACCAGTCGGCGCGCCCTTCGCGCGCTTTCCGGGCCGCCATAGCCGACCTTCAGTTCCTCGCCGTTGCTCCGCGTTGTGTGCTGCACAGGCCACTACCGGAGCTTCGTTTTCGTGTTCTTTTACGTTCCGCGTTGAAATCTTGTATTTTCTTTAAGCCTTTTCGATATTTAGGACTTTCATTTATTCATTTGATATTTATATTTCGACATAGCTCTTGTATTTTCTTATTTATGGAATCGAATCGGGCAGCGAATAGGTCGACGATACAAGATTACGAGGCTTCAATGACCATGTAAGTTCATCCCATTCTTACGTTTTTGTCGCTAATAAAGGGCAGTCAACACTATTGCGACATATGTAAATTGCAACCGACGCAGTAAGGCAATCTGAGTCGTGCTTCTCGCTGCATGTGCGCGCTCGTTTCCGTAAAGCCGACCTGCATGTAAGCGATTTAGCGTGCGACGATACGAGCGACGGAGATATCTCACCGTCGCCCGTCGCATCGCTCGGTTTTAGGATTTCCGAGAAAACGTCGCTCACCGTCTTGGTCGCTTGCTCCGTCGCTTCCATGCGGTTTGTCTCGTCGCGCGACTGACTGAGCGACAGCGAAACGGGTCGCCGTTACTTATCAGGTCGCTCGCCAGATTGCTTACATGCGGTTTATACTGAATTAATTTCCATGCACACAGCATTGAACCATTGGCGCCTCGATATTAAGTATAAACCGCATGCAAGCGATTCTGCGAGCAACGAGACAAGCAGTGGTGACTCGCTTCGCTGCCGCTCGGGCAGTCGCGCGACGAGGCAAACCGCATAGAAGCGACGGGAGAAAGTGACCAAGACGGTGAGCGACGTTTTCTAGAAACTCAAAAAACCGAGCGATGCAACAGGCGACAGTGAGAAATCTTTGTCGCTGACTCTCGTCGTTCTCGCCGTCGCTCGTCTCGTCGCACGCAAAATCGCTTACATGCGGGCCGGCTTTACGGAAACGAGCGCGCAAATGCAGCGAGAAGCACGACTGGATTACCTTACTGCGTCAGTTGAAACTTGCATATGTTGGAATGGTGTTGACTGCCTTTTATTAGCGAGAAAAAACGTTAGAATGGGATGAACTTACATTGTCTCTGAAGCCATAATCTTGTATCGTCGATCCATTCGCTGTCCGATTCTATTGCATAAATAAGAAAATACAAGAGCTATGTCGAAATATAGATATGAAATGATTAAATGAAAGCCAGAAATATCGAAACGACCTAAATAAAACACACGATTTCAACGCGGACCGTAAAAGAACGCGAAAACATAGCTCCGGTAGCGGCCGGTGCAGCACACAACGCGGAGGAACGGCGAGAAACTGAAGGGCGGCTATGGCGGCAGGGTCACGTGACGTCAAGATGGCGGCGCCCATGAAATGTTGCCTGAAAGGGTCTATACGCCCGTCCTTGCTTAGGAGATCACAACTGGGAGTGCTTCAATGCACAAACAAAATATCACACACGGTCAAAAGTACTCAACTTTTCACAACTTTTCATTGATTCGTTGTTCAATAACGTACGGCCCAAGACCTTGTTAGGTGTCTACCGCACTCGCAGGGAGCACTCTGCTGGCGAATTCCACTGGGGTCGTTTTGGAGCGCGTCGGGATCGGCTTTTCTGGAGCGCGCCTATTTCACTGGGCGATCGAGATCTAGACGAACGTGTTTGACTCGTCGTTTTGTATCAACTCCCACTACAAATCTCGATCCGAATTTCGGCGGATTCGACCGGAAGTCAGCGTGGCCAGCCCTCGGTGCTCCCACGTGACTTCCTTTCCCGCCCGGCATCTCGCCTCGGAAAAAATCGGAATGGACGCTCACGAGGTACCTCCCGTTTTACTGCTGCCGCTGCTTGATCACAGTTCGTTGTCAATTTGCTCGAGCAGCTCCTCCAGCAGCAGCGGCTCGAGTAGCAGCGACGACGACGATTCTTTGTATATCCGGATGAATTCAATAGCCTTTTCGGACTTCCGCAGAAGAGGCCGCAACTCGAGATGTACTTGGACATCGTTCACAAGTATTTCGATGAAGAGGCAAGTGTACTACGCTGATGCACATCGCTTATGGACATGCATCTTTCACATCATTATTAATCTCGCTCGTGCGTTGAACATGTCTTATTAGTGCCACAAGTGCGAAAACATGTGCTTCGAGATCCGGTACCCGCGGGAAGGGGATTTCCGTGAAAATAAAAGACGGGAAGGCGTCCGCCGATCCCGGAGTAATAGTCATGTTCCATGGGGATCCGGAGGCGGAGCGAGTCCGTTCAGATCGCGTGTTCCATCTCGAATCTGGTCTACTGATCCCGGCGCGCTCCAAAACGACCAGTGGATGTCGCCATAAGAAATCTGGAGCATCTGCTCTCCCGCAAGGCACTCGAGAGAGTCAATTGGATAGATAATACTTTAGACCCTCCAAAACGGTCTGCACTGTGGCAGTGAGCACGGGGAAACGTCACGCTCAGTGTCACAGCGAAGACAGTTCTTTTTAGGTTTAAACATATTAACAGCCCTGTTATTCGCCGAGCGTCCTTTGTAGATTGCGGCGATTGGCCCTCTCGAGTGCTTTGCATGGGAGCAGATGCTCCAGATTTTTGAATGATGGCAGTAAATAAATAAGGAGTAAGTAGAACACCAATTGCCAGCACACACCTCTATCTATACATAACAAATAAAGAGTAGACTCGCTATTCGACTTTGTTTTCGAGGTCAGCAGCAGTCGTCGGCGACGACATCCTGGTTAGTTCCTGTTCCGGCTTCCGACCTTCCGCGTTTTGTGTTTCTGTTGTCTTCTTGCAAACGAGGTTCCTCACCAAACGCGTGCTTTCCTCGCCCAAACGTGCTCGCCGGGGAAGTGAACGCGTTCCACGTGCCCTACCTTTCTCCCGCCGTAATTTGACAAAGAGCTTAAACTAGCCCACCGTTAACCTTTCTTTGCCTTCCGCTTTCGGACCGCACAAGGGGGGAAACCAAATAGGCACATGCCTGCTAAATCGAGCAGTCGGGGAAACAAATGTGGTCGCGAAACAAAAAGAGTAAAAATCGTATTTGAGACAGCTTAAGCAAAAATGTGTGCTGGCCCACCGTAAGTTCGTCTAAAATGCAAATGATTGTATTGACAAAAAATAAAACTACTGGACATGTAAATGTGTCTCATAGTATCTTATTTTAAATTCCTGCCCGACTGTGTGATAGCATCAGGAATAATCATATATTTTGATTCAGTGACAATTGAAACTTTCAAAAGACCGTTTACCTACGTATATACGAGGTCGCCGTGTTTTAGTTGTATACTCAGAGCTCGCACTGAACACGAGTGTTGAGTTAGCATTTGGCGTCAATTTTTCTTCCAACCAGTAAGATGGCGTGCATTTCTCTACGGGCTCGGGTCCAGTAGCACACTACGAGCTGCAAGCTATGATGAGTAGTCTTACCGTCAATGCTGGCTTTGTGGGTTTTGAAATCAGTGTCAACAGGGTCGAGGTTTTCGTTTGCCACTACATTCGACGTGGGGACGGGCGCTGTACACATAGCAAGACGATTCTTGTCAGTGTTATTTATTTATTTGATATCCTTACATGTAAATAAGTAACACAATATACGGAGACAGTCATCGCTAGTGAACAGAACCTAAAAAAAAAACTCCCACAAGAGATTGGCAGATACTGTTTCATATGACGTTTCCCAAGAACACCCATTTTGATCAGTGCTCTGAAGAAGCTAGGTCTCTTAGCAAACTGTCGGCTGCTCTGATATTTTCAAACTAGTGTTAATTTTCAAACACGCTAATCATCTTTTATAATCCTTCAATGTCTAAATCTCCCCAATCGGGGTACCACCTGTGTCACCGTACTCACGTTGAAGACAATAAGACACAATGAGACACCCGGTAGTTGCTTAGACTTTAGGCGGAGTTTCTGACAAACTAGGAACAAGATTTGTCTCCTTAGGCGGCAGAAAGGACATCCTTGGCCGAACCTCGCCGAGGACGCGCCGAGTGTATCTTTGTTTTTCAGTGCATCTTCCCACGTCAGAGGAAACAGAGAAGAAGTAGTGTTTGCTTTCGTCTTCTCACGACAATTTTTATTATTTTTTTCTTGTTTATGATTACCCGGAATACGTTAGATTTTCGGTTACAATGGGTCGAAGGCGTCGAGACAAAACTTTGAACCATCTTTGAGGTGTCACAGAATTGCAACCCTGATATTAACTTCGCTCTGCGCATTTTGATACGACATAGATATACCGTCCAGTCGGTTCTTAACCTGACAAAGCCTGCCGTCCTTGCGAAGCGGCATAGGTTAATGCATAATTTAGCTGTGGCAATATTCTTCTATACAAGGCAGTATTCACGCGCAAAAAAAACACGTAGACAAAAGCGAAGGATAGGGGTACAAATTGCGGCCGTTAATGTAAATGCAATAAAAACATATCCAGTTGACCAATGCTAATTTGACACAGTTTTGTTATTATTATGTGTGCTCCCACTATCGCCCACATCTAGTTGAAGCTCATTGCCGTGCCCACCAAGCAGAGTATGGGGCATCATCTACGTAGGTCCGCTCTCCTAATTTTTTGTCCTCATCCCTTTGACCATCGCAGTGGTGGACTCCAGCGGCAAGCTGCCCATGGGCATCATGACTGGCTCCGTGGCGGCGCTGGGCGCTTACGACCAGTGCCTGAGCGTGCACTACGACGACGACACCCATGACCCGATTGTGGGGAGGTACTGCACCCTAAACATCCAATTTCCGTACCTGCCCAGGACATTCAAGAACTCGTCTGAGATTATCAAGGAGAAAGACTCGGTTAGTTCCTTCAACGGTTTTTCATAGTTCACGAATTCTTGCACGTGGCGCTATCTCCTTCCTGGAGTCAAATCTGCTTTTATAGGGTCGATGTACATGTCTATATAAAATGAAATTTCAACATCCGGAGTTGTGCCAAACCATTGAAGTTTAAATGTCCGTTAAATGGAGTTTGAATGTCCGTTAAATTTTACCAGCTTATTTTGTTTTTCTCAGCACAAGATTTGGTTACATAGTATGATGATAACGGCCGGAGATATTCAGCTGGCTTCTGGGCAACTATTAGCAGTTTAATGATTGTCATGAAAAAATAGAAGCACCCGCAAATATTGTGGGCGAAATGGTCGCTTCATGCCAACGAGGTAGAGGGCCTTAGAGCGATGAACTGGCAGCTGAAAGTGACCCCCGATTGGCTGCCGCCATGTTGCACATTTATGACCACTAGACACGTGACTTTACCAAATCCTGAAGCTTTTACGGAAATCTGAGCCGATATTTGTGCTGCGATTGCTGTAAAAAAACACGAGAAACAATTTTTTCTACACTGTTATCCACAGAGATCAGTGTCTAGCTCCTATACAAGCCCAAAATACATCATCGCGACTGACGGCATCTAGCGGAGGCATTGCTAAGCTGCTGGAGTTTTTGTCGTCAAAGAACATTTTGAACTTAAAACAAACGGAACATAGCTTATCTCTAGGCCTAGAACTATATGGTCACGTGTCTAGTGGTCAACAATGTGCAACATGGCGGCGGCCAAATGGGGGTCACTTGCCTGGCGAACGGGATACCAGTTTGTCGCTCTAGGTCCCTCTGCTTCGTTACTACATGCATGTATCTTGTTGTGATGGTATCGAAACATAGAAAGCTAAGACGAAGATATGTGTCATACTACTTCTTGTTTTCCTTTCAGTTTATGCACTGGGTCTACAACTACGGCAAGTGGATGAAGTACTTTCCCATTCGTATTGGAATCTGCCTGCCGTCACATTGTGTCAAGGAGGACCTGGAGAAGCTGGGAAAATACAGTGCGTCCGCTTCCAGTCTAGCTGGTGTCCATATATTATGAGAGGAACGGATGAACAGCTGAAAATACATAATTTTGTTTTATTTCAGTTGTGAAGCCGGTGAACATGAAATCCTGGGTCGGGACATGCGAGGGCAAAACGCCAACTAAGATAACCACCCTCCAAGTTGTGGTTTTGTGAGTCTTCGTTAACATTGTATCCATCAAAAGATAATACGAGTTTCTTACGAGGATGTCGGCCCTGTATTATCTTGCATGCAACTCAACAGACACAATAGAAATTGAATTTGCTAAGAACATAGCTGAAAAAAAAAAAAAGAAACCGCCGGTCTCTTCGGTGTATGATATCCCGAAGACCACTCTAAATCCATAGCATTTAAAATACTTTTTCAAGCCCTGGTGTCACATGACTTAACGTCACGTGATCACGTAACACTATGCCGACACGATGACAATGCTAAAATAACATGTGACGTCAGTGTAACATGGCTCATGATGCCACGTCACGGTTTCCACCTGACGTCGTGGACACCGTCACGTCATGGTATCCCATGACGTGACCGTGTCACTTGGAGTCATGGTGTGTCATTAACACTGTGCCCTAAGTGAGCTCGTCACGGAAATCCGTGTTATATACTGTGTCGTTACGAGAACAATGTGATGTCATTATTAGGCTACATGTCATGTCCCCTAAAGCGCTAAGAGCTACATATAACTGATATGAATTTACAGACAATCTGTTCATCTGTCAATCAATCTTGGTGTTTCTGTGTACATCAATATAACGCAGGAGTATACTGGGCGCACTGCTGGTACTCGTATTCCTCGGAACCTGCATCGACCGAATGTGCGGCCCGAAGAAGGCAGAGAAACCCAACTCACAGTCCGGTCACCTTGGTGAGTTTGTTGACCCAGCAGTTGGGAAAGTGTATTAATATAGATTTATAGAAAAACAATTGGCTGCAGAAACTATTACTGGTTGTCCATGAATTGCGATAGGATTCGTCTAGGACAACATCAAGGATGACGTCTAAGACTACATCCTAATGGGCGACATCAAGACGACGTCTAGACCGACCTTAAGGACGACGTCGAAGAAGACGTGCTAGGGGACGATGTCTAGGACGACCTCTAGGACGACGTTAAGGTCGTCATGTCCTTCGAAGGGTGTGCGAATGTGAGGGAGTGTTAGAACATGAGCTGAAATGGTCTACTGCGTTTGCCAACAGCGCATTAGAAATAGGGATGTTGCGAACCACCCCAAGTTCGATTTCGAAATGTTTCGATATTTGCGAAGCGAACTGAGGTTCGATTTCGAAAAATTTTGATATTTTCGTACCGACCGAGGTCGAATTCGAAAAATTCGCAACTTTCGATCACAGTGGAGTTTCGAATTCGAAAAGTTCGAAGCTTTCACGGTTTCTAAAATTTCGGATTCGAATATTTCGAATATTTTTTTACTTCAGGTTCGATAAATTCGAAGATTTCGAAATTCTTTGGAAATAAAATTCGAAAACTTCGAACGCTTCGAATTTTTATAGACATAAAGGTCGAACAATTCGAACATTTCGAATTTCTTTCTGCATAAAGTTCGAAAAGGTCGAAGGTTTCGATTCTCTTTTAACGCTAAAATCGAAAAAAAAAACGAAAAAAAAAAAACTTCGAGGATTTTGAATTTTTTTCTAGTCCAAGTTTTCAAAGTTCGAAGTCTGGTTTTCAAGTTCCTCCACACTTTGTTTCAAATGACGTTTTCACGACTCAATTTTTACAAAGTCAAGTTTAGAAACGTTAGGGTGTGATCTAGATTCTGCGAAGTTGGTCACGCAGTTAAATGAGGCGACGAGTGTCCCGGATGTGCTGGAATATTTGCCAGTGCAGAACGACGTGTAACCATGGTTCAGTAATCGTGACCGCCAGCCCGGGGTGGACAAGGGGGGGGGGGGGGGGGGGGGGGGGAGTCTTTAACCTGCATCACGCAGTAGTGATCACACGAACACACTGTTTTACGAGACTCATTCAGTTTGAAACGGCCAGGGGCGGGTAGGAGGTTGAGGCTCAGAAAAACCTTGAAGCGACCTGGCAAACTACCTCGCCACCCCTTGCACGCTGGTAGTAATCCGATCGAAGGCCGCCCGAGTGACGCTGGCATATAGTAAGATAAGTTTGTAATTGTCCTGGAGGTTTATTTTCTGGGACGGAGGAATCGCCTTGCAAAAAGCCGACAGAACTCGAAATCGAGGAGCGTTCTACCATACAAGTTGCGTCGGCAGAGGAAAAACGGAGGGTAAGAGGGTAGCGGGGGGGGGGGGGGGGGGGGGGGGGGGGGGGCTTCAGTTCCCTTGCTTCCTTCCAGATATTTTGGACTTTTAAAGAAAATAATACGGGGAAAGAGGGCGTGGTCGAGCTTATTTTAATCCGAAATTATTTATGCAGATGTATAGCTACTGTCGCTCTTCACTGCATAAAAGATTGCGTAGATGGTCATTGTTAGAAACTCGTTGTCAGAAGGCACTACTCGTCACATGCTTAGTGGTTCGGAAGTTCAAAGCTGTCTTTTCGACCTAAATACCTGTGCCAATAGTAAAAAAAAAAAAAAAAAAAAGAATAAATGCGGGGATAAAAAGTTGGAGAAAAAAAACTATCAAGAATTCGCCGGAAGTGTTGTATTCTTGCGTATTCAGAGGTTCAGAACTTCGAAACAAGTTTCTTTTACCAAAATGTGTACAGGCTAAAAGTAGAAACACGTCCCAGGATCGTGAAGCGAAAAAAAAAAGTTTTCTTTCAATGACGTGCTGAAGTTGAATACTATTAGAAATCTTCTCCCATGAGTTAATTTATTCCTTAACGTGAAAAAACAATAAATACATTATTTTGTATTCTGCAGATGGCAATGATATGTACTGTCTGTGATGTTAATTTAAATGCGATACCTCAAACAACTTAGACAAAAATAAATATCAAGTTTAGGGCATAATTGCATGTAGATACATGTTTGGACATTCCTTCGAAACTCACGTTGAATAACAATAATCACATCTTAAGACGGCACCTACCTAGGCTATACATAGATCATTCTTAAAAAAAATATAACATCTCTACCACAAATAGCTTCGGCTACAGCGCGCTTCAAATCTGGCACAAACGATAATCATCAAAAACCCGTCGTTCTTCCTCGCCCCTTCGGAAATTTATTTCGTTAAAACTAAGCATGCCAGAACATTGAACCAAACGCCATTGTCTTTCGTAAGGAACGCAGCACCGCGTGTAAAAGTTCGAGAAAAAAAAAAACTACGAATGTACCTCACTACTTGAATTCAAATGAAACCGTCCGCTGGTCTTTCGAAGTTCGACGAACGTCGAACTTTTACCCTAAAAGGTCGAAGTTCGTCGAATTCTGACTTTCCAGAATTCGAAAGTTCGAAACTTTTCGAATTTTTCTTGATAAATAAGTTCGAAAGTTTGTAACTCATCGATTTTTTGGTCAGTCAAGTTCGGAAGTTCGACAAGCATCGAACTTTGCAGCGCAATAAGTTCGAAAGTTCAAAAAAGATCGATTTTTTAGCATAATAAGTTCGACGGTTCGAAAAGCGTCGAACTTTTACGATGTAGACAATTCAAAAAATCGAAATCTTTCGAACCTTTCAAACCGCTTGATTCGATCATCGAAACTTCGATTCGAAAAAAGTTCGCGGCATCCCTAATTAGAAAGCCTGGAAGTTAAGAAAAATCCGGAGAGGGGGGCAGCTGAAGAATGCTATCGTATTAATAATAACACCAGACGGTGTTAATACATCCCTTTTGCTCTAAAATCTTTATAACGTTTCTATCGTTGATCTTTTCTGACCTGGTGGCTCTATATTTCTTGTCAGGCTTGGCAACCAAGATGCTGGCCAGCTTTTCATTCGTGGCCAACACAAGGAAGCTGCTGTACCCAAGGAGGAGCCGGGACACCCTGTGTGTCCTGCATGGAATTCGAGTTCTGTCTTGCTTGTGGATCATCCTGGGGCATACCTACTTCTTGGCAGACATCGTCAGCTTCATCCGATTCAGTGAGCCTCTGATCTGAATATCACGATATATGAATTCCCGTCATGATGGAAATTAACGCGCCTTTACAGACCGTAGCAATAAGTGCTTGTAATAGACCGATATCACCGGCCAGTTTGACTACACCGTCGCTGCCGGGATCCATCGAGGGAACTTTAGTCTTTCTGCACGTGCGACAACCACGCTGAAGCTCTGCGCGTGTAGAGCACGAGATGCGCGCACTGGAGTCTGCCTCCTGTAAACTAAAGTTATGGCGGCGTCCCGCATGCGCCGATCGCTTAGTGAGGGTGCACGGCTTTTTCTTTCAATCTTAGATATAAGCGTGAAATGGAGATTCGAGAGGTTTTAAGATATTTCTGTACAAGTATAGTTATGACATCGGCTAGCAAAAAATTAAAATACGAGAATGCTAACTTACACGTTTTTCAAGGACCATTATATAGGTAATCGATAAAATGTAAAATAAATATACTAATTTTTTGAATATATTCAACAACCTCTAACAAAAACTTTTTTTTTAACAGTGTGGTTGGGACACGCGTTTCAAGAAATAAATTTTACGCGAAAGTAAAAATATTTTAGAGGAATATTGACGGCGAGAGATTTGTTCGAAATTCTGCGCGCAAAGTACATAACGTTGCTCAATGGTAATTCGCACATCGAGATGGTCATTCGCTCTTTTCACCTCAACGTGAAGGCGAAACCAATCCCCTCTCCTCCACGCGCCCGAAATGCCGAGAGAAAACAACTAGAAAGGAGGGGATTACCGACTAAACCCCGTCTGGCACCGTCAATATTGCTCTAATTTTTCTTTCGCATAAAATTAATTCTTTGACGCGCGTGTGCCAATCAGATTGTTTAAAAAGACATTTTTTTTTCTTTTCAGGGGCCTTTCAATAAAGGGGGCAATAAGTGATATAATTAATTTAGTTATTTCTTGTAACCCCAATATGTATCGAGTTTTAGTACATCATAGGTGTATAGAACAGTAGTTGGTGAGTTTGTGTTTTTGTCATTATTCCCGGCATGATCGTTGTTTACATTTTGTTTTTGTTCAGAAAGACTGAAAACCCTGGAGGACCTCAATACTGATGTCGCGTTCACGGCCATAGAGAACTTTCTGCCCGTGGACACCTTCTTTTTTATTAGGTAAATGTAAACTATATATGAAAACATTGAAATTGTTCCAAAATAACCTCTTACTTAATTATGTCATTCTCGTTTTTTTTTTTTTTTTTTCCTTTTACAGCGGCCTTTTGATTGTATACTCCAACTGGGGAAGGCTGGAGAAGAAGAAAGGCAAGCTCAACGTCTTGTCCGCCTTCCTGCAACGGTTCTGGAGGTACGGCATTTTGAAACTTATGTGGGGGTATACAATTTTATAGCTGGGACAGCACAGCGACAAAGCCTCTGGAATAAAACTAAAGATGAATATAAAGGAAAGTAAGGAACCCAATGCTTCCGCATCGTAACCCCCTTGAAATGCAGCACACAAACAAATGTTGCTTCTACTTGAACCCATATAAGAGAACTTGTGCCCATTTAAGGAAATTTGCGTCCATACAAGAGAACGTCTGCCCACTTATTACATTTTGTCCCGTCTTTCAGGATGACCCCTTCGTACATGCTGGTCGTGGGAGTGTTCCTCCTCTTGCCCCTGGTCGGGTCCGGTCCCCTCTGGAAGGAGACGATGGACCCGCTGCTTGAGAACTGCATGCAGTCCTGGTGGACCAACCTGCTCTACGTCAGCAATTATCTGCCCTATGACAAAATGGTAAGGAGATTGTATCATTATCTATTGTTTCGCCATGGTCTGCCTTATACCTCTTTGACCGCCTTAACTAAAAATTTGTGCCCTTTTGTTTCAGTGTCTGCTGCACACGTGGTTTCAAGCGGTCAATATGCAGTTTTTCATCATCGCACTTCCCCTTCTGCTATTTGTTTACAAGTAAGCCTGTATTGCTTTCTTTAGAACCAAACATTGTTGAGGCACCCTTATCTACAATTAGTTATTTTATTAAAGGGCAGCTGCGGCCAAAACTCCAAACGAAATAAATTACTGGTATCGCTGTAGTGACACAAAATACGACCCCAACAAGAATATTACGTCCGGGGGACGCCGCATTCTCAACTAATGCCGATAATAAAAATGCGACCCGCCGCGAGCCGCTGTTCCTTAGCGGGCGGCCAGCGGGTTGCCGATCGCTAAAGCAACATTGGGCCGTGACGTCAGTATCGTTTTAATTTTTTTCTCCGGTCCGGGCGTTGCGCGGAGTGCGCTTCTTTGAGCCGCTACCACCTCTACTTCGGCTTGTGATTGGCGTGTTTAGCCGTTGCTTTTATATGTAGCCCGTGTAGCTTCGGTATAGCCTTTTGTTTATTTGCTTGTGAGGACTACAAGACTCGTTTTAGCGAGGAACTCGGTGAGCTCAAGAGTGCCAGTCGTTCCTCGAAATATGTCGAGTACAACTTGCAGCGCTATGGGCTGCTCTAACAACCCGCTGCGCAGCCCGGAGGCACTTCTTCAGAAGTTTCCAACGGACCGGAAATTGAAGAAGGTGTGGGTGAACGCTGTTCGACCAGTGGACTTTGGACTTCGGCTTTTACGCGCCCGAGGAAAAAAAGAACGAAAAAACAGACGTGTACAGCCCAGCACAGGTGTGTTCAAGCGCCGCGGCCCACGCCGGAGAGCCTCAAAGCTTCGTGTCTGGGACTGACCCGCAGCGCGAAAGCGAGAGGGCCCCCAGTTCTGTACGTCACTGGCAGTGCGGCGTAGGGCATCGCCGCTTTATCCACGGAGCCCCGATGACAAGTTAAACCTAGCAACGAGTTCGGACGACCGCACGCACGGCTACAGCCGCCGAGTACGGCACCAAACGAGTTCACTCGTTTTCCAGTCGCTAGCTTTTGGGTATACAAGCGACGAGTACGGCATAGCGCACGCACGGCGGTGGCCGCCGAGCACGGCACCGTACGAGTTCATGGGTTTTCCAGTCGCCAGCTTTTGGTTATACGCACTAACTCTTGCTACATATGGTCGATAACTACCACGCATACAGAATTAAAACAAAATCAGCTTACCTCCAATCTTTAGACGGCTAGCGCAACAGAGGTAGGTGGCGCTCGGCCTGCGTACTCTTTGAACGAGAACGATCGTGACGTCACGTTCACATAGCGGCTGATTTCCAGTGTTGCCGGGGCCTCGAGTGGCTAGTTTCGGTTTTATTGGCCGCGCCCAACGTTACTAAACCACTCAGTTGGGAAACTCGCCGTCGAAACCTGGGCCGCTGGCGTCCACCGAGACCGCGCTAAATGCGACAACAGCGCCACTCTTTATCATTTGTCTGTACTTTAGTCACCTTGAGCTTTTTGAAAGCCTGTTTTTGCGTAAAAACAAACGGAAAAGACTCTTTTTGTATAAAATTTATTAGAGTTTAGTACCAAATGATGGGCGCGTGATGTTTTTATCATCTTTGGTTCGCAAGGTTTTGCGGAACAATTAATATTGTTTTCATACAACTATGCCTCAGCGGGCCTTTCAGGTAGCACGTCCTGACCTAGGTGCATTTTAACGTCGGTAGTTGAACGCGGCGCGTCCGCCGGGGAGGCGGGGGTGGCACCCCTGTTACCTCTACCGCTGTATCTGTTCTCAAAGCCAAAAGAGAAGTCACGTGCAGTTCTTCGAGAGGCCGCTGCGGGAGAAATGGTGGCGTTGTGTTCGTCATTAGCTCGGCGCTCGGAAGAGAGTATGGGGACACTTTTTCAAAGCTGTCTCTATGGGAGTTTCCCAACTGAGTGTTTTAGTAACGTTGGCCGCGCCACAAACAAAACTTTGAGGCGTCGATATCTTTAAAAATACGCACAATAAGGAGAAACAATAACACCTTGCAATTCAGGGACGCTGACTGCACTAAAAACAGTCATAATCACAAAATTGAAAGCATGAACCGGAGTTCCCCTTTAACACTGCTTTCAAACAGCATTTTCAGCATGGTGGTCTTACATAACTAAAACAAGATTAGGTATGACAAATGTTTGACTAACACTCATGACAGTCCTGCCTGGTTGTCACTCTGTTTTTTTTTTTTTTTTAGAGAATATGTCTGATACAACCTAGTGTCACCTGATCTGGTCGGAGTCTAGCATTTCGTGAGAAGTTTGACAGGAGCTTAAATATTTATATTTGTTTCTCTCCGGTTCAGGTGCAGGGTGCTGGGTTTAACCTTGGTGGTCTCATTGTGTTTGATTTCGACGCTGGCTGTTGGACTCATCACGTACTTCTTCCAACTGCCACCGGCGTTGCTTCTCAGCACTTCGGAATGGAGGTATGAACTTCAGGAAGGGCGCGATATGAATGCATTTTTTTAATAGACACAGTGCTTCAGAGGTTGCACCTAGAGCTGTTGCCTACTACAACGTTCATCTTCAGATGTCACAAAAAAGTAGAACGTTGGTCTTGCTAGCTCCACGCTCGTTCCAGCTTCATCGCCCAAAAATATCACTTTCGCTCTCTAGTATTCAATAACTGCTAAGCTAAATCCACTCCCCATAATCAGAAAGCATCGTGTCTCACTTCTTATTTTGTGAAATATATGCGAAAATCAGTGTCAAGGAGAGAAAGCTTAATGTTACATTTTTATTTCATGAAGTTCACACAGTGAATTAGTAGCATAACTTATAATAAACAGTTTTTTTTTTTTAGGAACGTTTATGTAATGTATATGCATGTCTATTTGTTCAGATCTCTAAACCGCGATGTTGGTGCTGAGCGGACATGTCGGCTGAGCAACGCTTCGTGGACGAGATTATCCGCATAACTGTGATGACGGCTTCGTTAACATTAATTCCGGTTGAGACTTGTCGCTGATGCCCGTACTTCCTGTCTTCCGCAGCAAAGCGGTGCAGCACCTCAACCTGATCTACTTCCAGCCGTTCACGCACTTCGGGCCCTTTTGCGTGGGGCTCTTTTGCGGCTACTATCTCATCCAGAACAAGGGCATTACTCTCAAACCCGTGAGCGCATCTTTCAATGGTTCTAGTTTGCGGAAAGTATATAAGATCCATTTTAGTAATGAGACGTCGGCCGTTTGAACAAAAATAAATTGCTGAAAATGTCTTAAGTAAGTTTAGAGATCTTCAGTCAGTTGACTCACTACCGTGATAACTTTTATACGAGTATGAAGTATCTATCGCCGTCCTATGTTTTACAGTTGTGTGACACAAATATATTACACATATACCGGGGCCTAGAGATGTAGTCTCTTGCCGTTATTCTGTATCCCTTCCCCGCTAGCTTTCTCACTGTTGAACTTTAGGCTTTTACACAAGTTTGCTTAGGGCAAGTTACGGTGATTTAATGTTGGCTAAGAAACGTTAGGATGGATCTGACTGTTCGAAGTTGTTAGGTAAATTATGCCACAAGTTAAAGTTTAGCTTGGCCTGTGAGATAGTTGAGTAGCCTTAGGCTATAACTTGACTACTATGTAAATTATGCTTAGTTAGGTAATCCTTTTTTTGACTAGCGCCATAAAAGAGCCTTTGCTGACCATCAGTTCTGGCGGCTCCCTCTGACTGCAGACCACGCTGGTTGTGGGCTGGCTGTCCGCCCTGGTGTGCGCGCTGGTGGCTCTTCTGGGAGCGTACCCGTTCCGGGCGGGTTACGACGTGGACAGCGTCTTGATGGCCTTCTACGCAGCCATGCACAGGACCGTCTGGTGCGTGGCCGTCGCTTGGCTCACCGTCGCCTGCGAGCTGGGACACGGCGGTCAGTATCCTTTTACCATACTGGATAAAATATACACTCGCGCAGTGCAGATCACTAGGATGACTGGTAAAGCCATTGCATTTTCATATTAGGACGTTCTGTGTTCCCGTTTCGGTTGATGTTGCTTATGCCACTCTCCCGGGACTTCAACCGCTTTAAAGCGAGAACATTATCTCCTTGTTTCCCACAGTACATTGTGCTCAATTGTTAAATATAATGCACCACGAGCAGTGGCTGGAGAGACTGCATGCCTCTTCTGCAGGTAGTCTTGAAGACCACACCGCAGTTATTTTCTTGTGTTACACGCTCAGTTGCAAAGCGAAGACCAATAAATGTTCCGGTGATTAAAAAAAAAAAAAAACATTGATCTAACTTGTTTTTTTATTATGTTTTATATAAAATAGGTTGCACGTTAATCAGATGAACGTGTCACGCACAATTGTGAAGGATTACAACAACAATGCAGTCCTATTCAAGTTCTAAAACTAGTAACAATATAATGCCACAAAAGTTTAAAGCTGGGGACGACAAAGAAAGAAACAAGGAGGTCATGTGGTAATTGTATCGGGGAGTGGCAACAGTCCCAGGGAGAGTGGCTTCAGTTTTCGCAGCATCATCAGTTTCTTGGTTAGGCGGCTCTCGGTATCAGCCACTGCTCGCGCATTATATTTAACAGTTGAGCACAATGTACATGTCTTTTTAAATATCTGAACGCTCGCCTCGCCATTGTGCAGACTTGGACACAAAGAAACAATGGTGCTAGTTCCTGTGTAACGACATGCAAACTTCGGTATGCGTATTTATTTTACTTTAGCTGTATAAATCAAAGACTACGGTTCCTAAAATGAACTCTAATATGTGTGGGTGCTATACTCTGTTACAGCTTAACAAAATAAGCTCAAGCTCCTCCCCACAAAGCCCTTCACTTTTTCTTCTTTAGAAAAGCGAACGCTTAAAAGGAAGCGACAGAGGAGGCAAGTTCTCTCGCCTCCTCTCTAGCGTTCACTCTGCTAAAGCTCACCTTGGCCTGCGTTTGGCATCTGGTGCTTTTCGAATCTCACCTGTGTTTAGCTTGAAATGTCGCTTGAAAAAAGGCGACAGCGGCGCGACAGCGGCTTAGCCTCACCTATGCTTATAAAATTTTGTCGGACCCCAGCTTCCCCACTTATAGTTGTATTCGGAGCTATAGGTTTTCTCGTCTCTTTAACCATAGGCCAACTGTTGTGCGGCGCAACAGTCTACATGGTCCCCCTATGCCGCCTGAGAATCCGCCACACCTACCTTACACATAGCTTACTGGTCGAGAACCCCTATCCTGTGTGCGCTGAGGTGAACCTTTGACTTTTATTTATATTTTGTTTCTTCTGATCTTCGGCAGCAGCACACAATTTTTTTCCTGATCTTTTCAAGTATTGCATTGCAAGTAGTGCATTTCACCTTGCCTTGCCACTTGGTGAGCGACCGCTATCTCAATCAAACATCTCTTTGATTTTCTTGGAAATATCGGTTTTTAAACAGACCATAGAACTATTTCCTTATAGTTTAATTCTACTCATCCTTTTCTATTGACCTACCTTGTTTGGCGCAGTATGGCCGTTGATTATCTTGCGCGCGCCATTAAAGGCGTAAACAACAACAACTCTGCTAAAGTGGAAAGAGTAGTGGTTTGCGGGAAGACCTTGTCCTGATTTTCTTAACCTGCAGCAGAGTATAGCTACTACATTCAGGTTGAACATTTAACATGCTACCTCGTTTGGCCACTCATCTGGTTTGCTTAGAAAGCGTGGTCATGCAAGTGTCTGAATGACACCTTATAAACTGGTGATTTTCTGGACGTGACTTTGCTGTCTCGCAGGGCTTTTAAACGAGACGCTTTCCTGGAGGGGCCTGGTGCCTCTCAGCACTCTTTCGTACCTCATTTACCTGATTCATCCTCTGGTCGTCTACGTTCACGTCGCCACTACCAGGGAAATCGTCAACCTCGATCACTTCACCATGGTAAGTCACGTGGCAATTTCATTGTTTTTATTGCAAAAGGTTCGTAATACGATTGCCCCGACACAGTAATTAGAGGGATGTCTGAGATGATATAGATTTCGCAAAATAAGGCCACAGAACCGTGGAACGGGACGCTACGAACTTAAGACATAACTACTTAACTCATACATCGATATATCAAACGGATGGCCGTATTTTTTTTATTCTTTTCTTAAGGGGGGTGTTATTAAGGGAGGGTTATGACGTATTTATCTTTCTGGAACAGTTGGAAGCGGCCTCGCTTCTTTCTTACTTGCTTCGGTTCACCAGCTCGAGGGGACTAAGCAAATAGGACAGGGAACTAAGTGAATAGGAGAGGGAACAACATCTCTCGTCTGCCTTGTCGGTCTCATCGGCCGTGTTCACTCGCACACCTCCTTTCTAAGACTAAGGCCATTCGTTAGAGATATCCCTGTGTGAATGATGTTTTAAAGTTTTGCAGCGCCGCGCCTATCACTCCAGCCTTGTTTTGTAAGTTCCAAATTTCAGTTCAGTATCCTTTTTAATATGAATACATCTCCTACCCCCAGAAAATCGTTTATAATGTGATTTGTCTTTAAAAGCGAGACAAAAATGCACGTATTTTCCCAGTTTGTCCCGTTCGTATCATACAAACTCCCCTTTTTTCTGGTCCCCTAAATGTTTTTCACTGCATTCATCAAGATCACATTGCGTGCTACTTGTACACAGCAACGAGCTTCATTATTGCACGTGCTAGGAGCCATGAGAATAAATATGGAAGTAGTCGAAACCCCAACGTTATGTATTTGAACAGTGCTTTTGCTTGATGGTATATCATATGTGAAATGAGACAAAACAGCGAACCTGCTTTACGTTAGGCATTTGCTTTTTTCTTCTTGGAGAAAATTAGGAGGATGATTAATAATTGAAACTAGATGGGCGTCGGGTTGGTGCAGGCGATTTGTTTCAGAGATAATAACTGGTTCTTCGCTTTCATTTCTTGTCTTCTCTCTGTTGCGTTCCGCACACGCAGTGCTACAGTTTCCTAGGCCATGCGACCATTTCCGTTGGACTGGCGTACGTGGCTCACGTCGTGGTGGAGCTGCCCTTCGCTTCCCTCAAGGATATCGTTTGGCGGCGAAGCTCGTCCACGACGACGACGGACCCCCGACAGTGCTGCCCCACGTTGGGCGCCAAAGGGCCCGAACTGCACACGGTATGCGTGCCGGGACTCAATGGCGCCGTCAGGCAGCAGCCGCTGGACTTGGGCTTGCCTACCAGGGCGTAGCGACATCATCCGACGTCGTTTGGTGTCTTGTTTTCTCATGCGCCATATGTACATTGACTCTTTATATTATAATACGTGCCGTACGGTGAGAGTTGGACGATTAGTTTTCGTTTGGGTGTGGAACGCGACTTACGCTGCCTGCTTTCGTGCAGCGAGACGAGTAAGTTTCTAGTGGGACGACGGAAAGACTGTGGGAGACGTTAAGGACCGTAGATCTCGAAAGCCGGAGCAGCTCCGGTAAATGAGTGAAACCGCGATCGCAATAAAGTAAGTAGTTAAACTTGGTTGTTGGTTCTTTCTAATTGGGAGGAGATGGTTTCAGAAAACATGGATAATGAGCACAAGATTATATTGTTGAGTATTAAGAGAAAACGTCTTTCCGAATGTCGGCAATATAATGATAAAGCGCGAAACACATGTACGACGAAACCGTCCGATCCGACGAGCGAACTGCCGGAATGACCTTGGAGGGCGAGGGTTTCTGTAGCACGGGAGTGCGTTGAAAACCTTCGCCTCCGACCTTCGTATTGCCTGATCGGACGTCGGATCGGACGGTTTCGTCGTACATGTGTTCCGTGCTAACAGATGTGTTTTTCAATACCACCTTTTTCTTATTTGTAAGGAGTGAGAACGAGTAGTCACGTCACCTTTCCTTTCTCTTCGTTTTTCGTGTCGTAACTACATGAAGTAATTTGTCCGTGTTTTGAATAGTATGCATTGAAAACTATAGTCCATTGCAACTCAAGAGCGTAGGGCGAGGGTAGGGCGGGTGAAGAGGAAGCAGACGAAACGCTGGAGAAGAGAGGGCGAAACCTCCTTTTCTCTTTAGCCTTCCGTCTGCTTCCTCCTCCGCGGCCCGTCTTACCCTCGCCCTACCTTCTTGATTTGCAACGGAGCAGCGTACAATCTCCACAAACAAGGGCGCGTGCGTTTGTTTGAAAGTTAGTGGAGAGCCGATCACAGTAATCCACGGAGTAATTCGTCGTTTCTGTGCATTTGTATTTGCACAGCGCTTCCTTTGCAAAAGCAAATACCAGAAGAAAAAAAATAGCTGGAAATATTTGAGACAAAGCCTCACCGAATCTAAGTCACTTTTTTTACCTGATTCTTCGTCAGCTCGCGCAACTAAATCTCTGACTCTGACGACTAAATCTCATCTCACATGGAAAAAAGTGTGCTGCGTCGTTCGTATTTTTTTCATAGTAGGGTGATTTCAGATAAGATCGACGAAAGGGTGGCTGGTCGACATTTTTAAATCAACTGATGTTTTTTTATGACATTGTCTAGTGTCTGGTATAAACGAATCCACACTTAGTTTTGACCAGAAAAAAATTTGGAGACAAGAAAAATCGTAAGACAGGGAGAGGTGGACAGTTGCAATAACGCGCACTGATGGAGGGGGCAAGTTTGAAAGTGAATAATTAAAACAATAAAATTATGAGAATTTTAAAACTTTTTACAAACAAACTATGGGTACAACTTGCTTGTAATATAAAGTAATAATATTTATTAAAAATTTATTTAGTTTTCAAAAAATTGCCAAACATGCCTGCTCGAACGACAAATGGCAAACTTTGGAAATCTGTATCTCATGAAATAATTTAATCATTATTACATAACTTGCAGACATTTACTAATATATGGCTATTATTGAAAAAATAAATAAGGTATCTGAGTGACACAATAGTTACAATATATTTAGGCAAACATGGGAAAAAAATCAAAAGAAAAATTCCAATGCGAATAAAAAAAAAAAACACCACCACCTTCGATTTTTTTAAAAATTTGGGTACCCTGTTATACTCTATTTCGGCATTCATTTCTATTAAAAACATGTTGCATCATTGCCCTGTGAAAGAAGAAACAACTCCCCAAAGTAGGGTCCTTTTTCAAAGCCTACACTTAGCAGTGTCCTATACAAGAAGTGACTCTGAGTTCCAGTTTCATGAAACTTGCACAAATCTTTTATATACATTTATTCCGATGAGGTCATTGATAAAAAGAGCGATCGGTCACACAGTAAAAGGGAGGAGAAACTATATACAGCATTTTACATTAGCGTACAAAGTGGTATCATATTAGAGACTAATGATTTGAGAAAAGATGATGCAGTGTGAAGTTGTACCTCCCGGTATATTTTACATCTAGAGTAAAATAAATAACTTTACTTCCACACACAAAAACAAAGATATAATAGGAAGATATTTAGGTTGGCTGTGTATTTACGATTACAAACAATTTCAGGTGACGGATGCCATAGTGCCTAACTGGAGCAGCTTCGATGCTCTCGGTGTATGAATGAATGGTGGCAAGCCGATATATTTTATCCTGCTCGAGGATAACATTTTGGGATTTTTTTTATAGTGATCAGATAAAAATTATTAGTAACCACCAACAAAAACAGTAGGTTAAATACCCCGTGAAGAAAAATGTGATAAATAAGATGTCCCTGCATTCAAAATGAGCAGTCCTTGGGAAATCAAATTTGGCACTTTACGCTAAGGTTTTCCTCGCTTTACCCATTTAATAAAGTTGCTTCCAAGCAGATCCGACTGTCCGTGCTACATATACGTCACAGGTCCCTTCTGTTGATGACTTGCTGAGCCGCCACGCGTGCCAAGATTGAATGCCAGGGAAGGGGCGCACCGTCAGCCACTCTTCTTTGTTTTGTTCACGATACCGAACAACCTCATTTTCGTCCAGATATACAAGATGCACGCCTTTCAGTTTCTTTGATAGAACGCTCACCATTGTCCTGGCCGTCTGAATTGCGCTTACTGAACGTTCTCTCAGGTTGTTCAGCGTGGCCTGGTGCTTCACGAGTCCGCCAACTCCGTCACATGCATTTTTCCCATGTCCAGATGCAGAAAATAACCACTGGGCTTGTGGGCAATCGTCCTTTGCAAATTGGTGAAGCTGGTAGCGATTCTTGAAATGACTGGCGGCGCGGTCACTTACGTACGTCACGTACGAGTATACCGCAACGTTGTCTTCAACCCACTCCTTCACTTTTTCTAGAGCCAAGCAAGCGTGAGCGGCGTCGTGACACAGGTCCTCACTGATGATGGCAAAGCTGTTTGTAGATTTTCTTGTCGTCACTACACATGTAAATATCGAAACTTTTTTTTTTCCAGTGATATGCTTGCACTTCGTCAGGAAGCACGATGGTCCAGTTTTCAGCAAAGTCAAAATGAAAGACAATGCTCCCGCGTTGCATGCACTGTTTTTCATCGTAGATCGCTTTACCTTGCGTTTGCCGGATATGGTTGTGAAGTACCCAACTTCCAACCGTCACTTGGATGACTTTTAGGAAAGTCTCAGGTTCCAAAGTTTTTTTCACAAGGTCGCCGGACTCCCATGTTGCAAGCACAATCTCTTCATCCTCCGGGATATCAAGTTCCTGGAGTGTAAGAAACTGGCCTTTTGGGCAGTGATCACAGTCTCCTTGAAGGCACAGTTCTGTGTCTGGGTCGCACAGAAATGCCGAGTTCATTTCACCAGTGTTGAATGTTGAGCCTGTAACGTTCTCTAGAGCGGCAATACAAAGATAATATTTGGCGCAGCGCACACAAACGCACACTTCCTGGTGTGGAATACATTGGACCCATCTAGGGCGCAACGAAGAAAATTTCGTTAGCCCAACGCCGGAATCGGGATGCTTGTCTTTGTATATAAGGAAGGCCTCTCGTATTGAGCGTGTCATGAAGCGCTTTGGCACGAACGTTTTCTCTCCGTTGAGCATGACAGAGATGACGTCCTTCTGGTTGGGATTTTGGCGCGAACATTGTAGCTCGTCTTTCGTGAAGTACTCTAGGGCAGCAGACAGGTTCTCAGGGCTCACCTTGCACCTCGTGTAAGGATCCGGCTCATACCACACGCCATGCTTTTCCTTGAGTTTTCGGGATTTACTGGTGAGGTACATTGAGGTCTGTGGAATCATCTTTTGAACCTCATTCTTCGTCAGTGTTGACGGCAGGAGTGTAAGCAGTTGACATCGTTCCCGGAGAGAGGTGGCGGTTTCAAAGGCCTGCCGAAAGTTGTCCACCCACTCAGTGCATGTGGAGCATGTTGGTTCGGACGCCCCCGATGGTGCGTCCCTGTCGTACGCAATACGTAGCCTTGAGCGTATAATCTTGACAGCAACCTGCTCCAGTTCTGTCTGCTTTCTCTTGACATAGGCAGGCCTGTCCCGACTTCTTACGACGCTTGGTTGTCTCAGCGGCGACACATCTGTAGGTAGTATGCTGCGTTTTAGATCTTCAATTGCTTCTTCAGCTGGCACAAGTATGTCAGGGCACTGCTCTGAGCTTCGCATCGAGATCTCCTTAGTGATGTGCATGAAGCAATGGTAGCAGAGGTAGTCCGTCGCACTCACTTTGGTGGAACAGTCAGGCGGAAGAATTTGCTTCAACGAGTTTAGGTCCAACTCGCCAACACTTCGAAAATTCCGCTGCTTTGGTATAGTCTTTTTGTGTTTGCAAAAGTAATCTGCACAAAACACTCATTCGGAGCTCCAGGACGTCTTCATAATGTATACATAAATAATAGAAATTAAACCCCAACTGATGGCATATAATTGCCAAGTGAAAGAACTACTGGGTGCACAAGTGACAAGTCCGAGGCTGAGGAGCTCACTCACTGCAAACGTACATTTGAAAAGAGAGGTCACAACTGAGGCTGTCGGCAAAGCTTGATCCACGTCAAAGGAAGAAAGAGGGAAAGTCTCCAGACAAAAAATTGTGGTCAGCGGCCTTCGAAAAAAGACTTTCCGGAATCGCACTGTCGTCCCTCCACGCGCTGATATGAAAACACCCGAGCTTCTACCACGTGGTTCATGACACAGCCTGAGCCATGTCGGCGACCGGTTCGCGAGGGGTTGGCGGTGGGGTTACGTTGATCGTCACTTGGATTAGCCCTTGCTGTACTGAGCTACCGCCTGCAGTGCCTTATCGCCGGCTGGTGTCAACAACGAGAACACACACACCCTGTCTACACCAAAACTACAAGCGTTCACCGCACACGCGTCGCCGCCGCTTTTAAGCTTTTTTGAAATTGCTTTCTTTTGCCGCGGAGAACCGCCTTATCTTAACTACGCGCCTGAAATCCTTCCAGGCGGGCGTACACAATATCAAGCGTTTCGAGAAATGCCCGTGGAGTAGAAGTTGAACGCGATGTCGATATCGTCGCCGTTGTGTTAGTACGCCGTCGCGTACTGCAGTCCCCTTTGGGGGAGGGGGGCGGTCTTACTACGATAACATGGCGACAGCGTTTACACTCTATGTAT